AAGGCCCCTTACCCCTGGCGCCGTGCGCGCCCAACCCAAAATGGAGATTTTTACTTAGGCTGCAGAAGAAGGGCGAAGAGCACTTACTCGTAATAACAGCCTCTCTTTTTTCTGAAATCCATTTAGCACATTGCTTTTGACAGGCTTTACAGACTCAGAAATATATGTTTCCTAAGGGATCATTTCCCTTGATTTCTATTACTCAATTCTTAAAGTTTTCTAGTTGTGTTGAATTTTCTTATAAATACAGTCATTATAGTGCTCCATTCATTCTTTTTCATTTAAACTCCTTATTAGCTTTTCTGCTGTGGGAAAAAGTAAATCCACCAGTATCTAGCAGGCAATTAGCAAAAAAGTCCGAGTCCTTTTGAATGGTGCTTAGTATTTTGAAGCAGAAAAGGTATAATATTCAATTTTTCAATTTTGAGGGTGATAATGACCATTCTGTGACTACAGAACATTAACCCAAGGTACACTTACATTTTGTTAAGTAGGTCATATAGAAGCATATTACTAATGGCTTTCTATCCTAATAGCTTATAAAGGAATAAACAATACAGGGTTCTAAATTAAAATACTGTAGATAGTGAAGCATATTTCTAAGGAAATGCATGTATTCAATGTCAACATTGTGATGAACAGTTTCTATCAAAACTGTCATTTTAATTTTCAGTTCTTGTCATCTTTCCTATCACTGGTTTCTACCTCACATTGTTTTTAGTATTTCAGTGCATTTATAAATATGAACACTACAATGAAATGATAAAGGGGGGCTTAATAATACTTATCAGTCAAAATGACTCAATAGAATTTAGATATTTTTAATATGAATATTATGAGACACATTTTTCCAAGGTACTATTTTGACCAGATATTTCCATTTTTAGGATTTATATTGAAATCTAGATCAAATCTAAACACGTGTCACAGTTTAAAGATCCTTCATAAATCCTAACTAAACTTATTCCATATTCATAAGCATGAATTAGTATTTAACTTTAGGTTAGTTCAGTAAATGTATTAAAATATTACTGTCATTTTCAGTGCTATAGTGTTTTTAGGTTGGATGGCTAAATATAATCTTTATTCATTATTTAAGGTTTTCCATGAAACCCTGTTAGTTTGTTTCATTCTACCATGTACCACCCCTAACAATTCAGCAATTTTTTTCTGAATTATTATTACAGTATATTACTTATGAAATGATTATGTAATTTTGTGACTGGCCCTAAATTATGTCATGAATATGAACTTATTGTGAATTTATTGTCCATATTTATATTATTTTAATTCAGTGTGTCCTCTACTGTCATGGTAATTTAGGAAAATTTACTACTGTGAGAAAGATAAGTGAAAACCAACATCCTTGAGTGAGATTCTCCAAAACTACTGTAAAATGTGAAGTTTCACTCAAATCTAAAAAACAACTTGGAATCTCTTTCTAAAAATTTTTAAGTCTCATGTTCCTGATGGATGAATTTATTTATTTACTTTTTCAACTTACAAAGCAAGAATAAAATAGGAATTAATGAAGAAGCAAGATAACAACTTAAATATTGTATAATGTCATGGTAGTTTTTTGAATACCATTTACTGTAACCAGCTTCTATACTGACTAATAAAATCTATTGATGTATCTTTTCAAAAGCCATTATCCTAATCAGGTATAATTTCTTTGATTATATATAACCATTGTGATCATTTCTAAAGCACAGTGTGATTTTGATAACTGAGAATATAATACCTTCAGATTAGGGTTGGCTTACCTTATTTCTAATTATTCCTTTCCAGGAATTTAATCCACTATTAAAAAGAAAGAAAAATCAACATTTCATTTTACCTCTCTTGGCACCACTGACATTTTCTGTAGACTTTATATTATTTTTCAACATCAAGTGATAATACAGCGCACCAGAAGTCCTGATAAGCTACCAGACTCAATTGCTATCAGATAAGCTTGTCAAAGATGTGTAATCTAGTCTCCTGAATTCTGATCCAGTGTATTATCTGTCAGGCAAGAGAAACTGGCATTTGTTCTCCCTTTGCTGTGCTAGAATCACCCACTGGATGAGTGACTTCAATTACTTTTTGCAAACAAAAACCTTTATTTATCCTGGTACTGTATATTTGTTCCTTTCCAAAGTTTCCAGTAATTTGTTACATGAAACTATCTGGCAAATTAAAAATAAATTCCTTAGATATGCTAATAATGTCTTAATATCATCTTGTATAATAATGTTTACTTATTTTAAAAATTCCTTTCTATCAAAATGACAATGAGGTACCATCTCAGACCTGTCAGAATGGCTATCATCAACAGATCAACAAATGATAAGTGCTGGCGAGGATACGGAGAAAAAGGAACCCTCGTGCACTGCTGGTGGGAATGCAGACTGGTGCAGCCACTGTGGAGAACAGTATGGAGTTTCCTCAAAAAACTAAAAATGGAACTCCCATTTGACCCAGTGATCCCACTTCTAGGAATATATCCCAAGAAACTAGAAACACCAATTAGAACAGATATATGCACCCCTATGTTCATAGCAGCACAATT